TTTTTACATACTTATCTTGACAATAATTTAGGGTTAAGACTGCTCCCCTGATTCCTACAGCAAAAAAAAAAACTTTAAAATGCTGGTGGTAATATTTAAGAGTGCACCTGATCGAAAAGAAGGTGAATGGCGTCAACTGTTCGAACATTTGATTCTTGGAAATTAACAAGTGGAAGAAGAAGTTTATAAAATTGTAATTTAAAAAAAACTCGGCACAATTATATTAATAAAAAATTTAATCGATTTATTATTTTTTTCTTATTCTCAAGAAGTTTTGTGAAAACATATATTTGAACCTTACGTTTAAGTAAAGCCATGTAAAAACACGTATTTTAGACGTCGAAATGAGAACGTCTAAATAAAGTTATTTAAAGACGTCATTTGGCGTTTCCATTTAGCACTAGTTCTGAACGTCCTAAATTCACGTATTTTAGACGTCTAAAAACACGTCTTTATTGCGTCTTAAAAAGACGTCCTAATTACGTCTTAAAAAGACGTCATCTGGCGTTGCCATTTAGAACCAGTTCCGGACGTCCTAAAAAGACGTCCTTTCGACGTCATATGGACGTTGCCGTGCCCGCTGGGAAAGATGTGATTATATGGCTAAGCTGAATAACTTTTTGAGAAGGATTTCTTTGGAGGCATGAATTTCTTTGGTGGCATGGTTTTAAAAATTATTAAGTTTTTTAATGCTGTGTGCAGAAAGAGAATACCATACCATGACCAACACCACTGAGGGTCATAGAATGGAACTCTGTCAAAAATAAATTTTTTTAAGTAATTTCTAGATATAGAGCTCCTGTATTTTTAGAGGACTGTACCCACTTTCACACTTTGTGTGAAATACAAATACCAAAATTTCTTTTGATGTAAGAATAATCAAGAATCTGTATCCCTTGTTATTGGTGGTGAACTTCTAGTGAAATGTAAGATAAGACTTTTTGTAGCCGTGGAGCTGCTGTTTTTTGGTGGAGCTGGAGCCGCAAAAATCAAGTCTTTTTTTTAAATAAATGAAATGTATGGTTTTTTTTACTGTAAACAAACTTTGTTCCTTTATTGTTTAACTGATTTGTTGAATGAATTATTTATTGAGTTTCTATTTTTTTAACAGTTACGGTCTTGCCAAAACGTAATAAAAATGAATATTTTAACAATGTTTTGCTCAACAAAATACTATTCTTTAAAAGTATTTATTAATATGCTTTATTTAAAAAAAAGTAAATTATTTATGAAAACATTACAGTATTGCATAAATTGTTTTATATTGTATTATTATACTAATATTATGATTTTACATATTTGATGCGGCATTTAATCATCAAAGGTTGTTTGTATCTTTTAAATAATACTAAAGCGCGAGATTGTTAAATTTGAAACGATGAATATTGTTTTACAACTTGTCAATAACATTACTAAATTTTTTTATCATGTAATTACATTAAGTAATTACAGTATTAATTAAAAACATCAACAAGTCAAAATGTTTTTCTTAATTAAAATGTCATTGAAACATTAAAAAAAACGAAAAAAAAAATTCTGCAGAGCTATCTACAAAATCCTTCTTCATCGTTACTTTAAATTGCTAAAGAATCTGAATCTAGAAAAAATACTGTTTATATGGTCATAAAACAATACAAGAACTCTCTATTTATTGAACAAGCAAATAGATCTGGAAGAAAGAGTGGCTTTAAGGATAAGAAAGCAGCAATTAGTATTCAACTATCATTTATGCAAAATCCTGGCTTATCGAACAGAGAACGAACCAAAAGGTATAAAGTTTCAGAGCTTTTTAAAGACTAAATTTTGGCAAGCAATATGCAGCTGTGGTTTGAGATCATGAGCTTTTGTCAGATTGTCAACTTTAAACTCGGATATTTTCATCAAAGAAGACTTGCAAGCTAGAGTTTTGCAATTTTATTGAAATCACGAAGTCCCCTATTGACTCTTGCTTCTTGTCATTATTCTAAGAAGAGTACTACAGAGGTACATCAAATTCATACCAAAAAGCTGAATCCATCAATCTTCATCACTGTTCCATCCCATTAAAAAACTTGGGGGATTTGGCAAAGGATATTTGCGTAAGACTGGCAAAACAATAAATACCGCTAAAAATTTGATTAGAGAGTGGACATTACTAGGAAAAAAATTGTCAAAGACACTGTGCAAAAGTTGATGTCGTCCATTAGCGTAAATGTTTGCTTATTTCTTTGAAATAATGAAAAATATTAAAATAAAAAGCACTTTTATAATCTTTTAGTTCCTAAGATTAAAATAAATATTGAAATTTTTGCATTAATTAAACTATTTTTCTATTTTTTTTTTTGAATTTTTTTATCATTTTGAATTTAACGATCGCATGTTTTACCCAGTGGGCACGGGACTTACAAAAGAGGTCTTTTAAACGCCGTTGGAGGGTTTTGAATGTCTTTTGAACATTCAAAATACGTCTTTTGAGGTACCGTGCCCACTAGATAATATATAGAAAAAAATGTTTATTTACCTAAAACATTTTCTTTTCAATTATTATATTCGGTAGTAGAGTAGTGATAGTAATACAATAACATTATAATCATGAGATTTGGTAAAAAATTAATTACTGTAATTGGAAAGTTTTGGGTCAGCAAATGTGATCGAAAATATATTTAAAAACTTGGAATTTTTGTTTATAAAGTTCGGGAGCCAGAGCCGAGCGCCGGATATTTCTTAAGAGTCGGAGCGGAGCTGTAAAAATAAAATTGGCTCCACAAGCCTGGTAAAAGCACAAGTGCAAAGTTGTAATCCAACATGTGATTTGAATTACATTGTTTTGTAGCATAACTGGGCTGTCAGGGGTTGAGTTGATGGAAATAAGTTTACTGTCACAAACATAAAACTTCATTTGATAACTAGTTCTGTAATGTCATTAATTTATAAGTTAAAAAAATAGAGGTCCTAGAACAGATCCTTGTAAGACAATACTAGTGGCTGGTAAATATTCTGAAGTAGTGAAAGCTTTTACAATAATTGTCGGAGTTTGAAGCAGACAAAAGGTAAACAAATGGATCTATAGTTTGATGAATCAAGTTTAGATCCTTTCTTGTGAAGTGGTGCAATGTTAGCTTCCAGCAGTTGCGACTGGGACTAGACCTTCAGAAATAAATGTTATAAAAATATAATAGGCACATTCAGAGAAAAAGAACATTTGTTGAGGATCTGTGGGTAAATGTCAACTATGCCTGTTGTTTTATGCATGTTTAGTTTTGAGAGCAGTGATTTTATGTAAATTGACTGAAACTTAAAGGAGTAAAAACAGAGAGATAGATTGTAATGCATCATAACATTTATCAATATTTAAACTTCTAAAATGATTAACCCAGTCAATACATTGTAATACATGTTTATTTTAACAAAGTTACCATTTTTAAAACATTGTTGAGATAAAGAAAATAGATTTTTAGAAAGGCTTGAAGATTCTACAGTATAATTCCAAGTAAGAATTAAATAAGCTTATCATTTTTTGGTGCAGCCAAAGTTAAGATTGTCTTTCAAAATAAAATATTGCGAAGATTCAGTCAACATAAGATTTAGAGAGTTAGGCCCAATATGAAGTTCTATTGAAAAATATTAAAATCAACATATTGTGTTAATTGGTTGGAACCAAACATCTCAATAAAGTCTTCAGCTAGCGAGTTAGTGGTGGGAGCAGTGACCATGCGGTAATGCACTGCAACCTAAGTTAAAGTCACTTGTGATTAGAAGACCTTAGAAGTGTCTATTTTTGATTAATTTAGATACCAAATTTAAAGAGGCTTTAATTTGGATATTTACAAGGTCATTACTAAGTGGTTGACGGTACCTGGAACTACTTAAAATTTATTCAGGTGGAACTACCTAAAATTTATTCAGTTCCAAAACCGGCGGAACTTCCTAAAATTTATTCAGTTCCAAGATTAACCAAAAACACCAAACTTGTTCAGAGTCAGTTTTTTTAAATTTCAAGATGAGTTACTTCACGGCATAAGTTTTAATTAAACCATGTTTCTATTATCAAGACAATACTTAATGGTACTTTTGAAGTTTAAAAGTTTAAAGACTTTGCAGCTCAGCAAGTTTCACTAAGTTAAACAAGATTACATTTCTATAAAAACACTTAAATTATTAAGATAATTTGTTGTGTTCATTTTATTATTAACAATAATTTTTATATTGTTATTAGTTCTATTGTGGACTGATTTAAATGTTAATTCTGTTTTAACACGTCTAAAATCATGTTTTTTTCCAAGAGTGTCCTAAAATCCATCAACATGTGTGACTCAAAAGGGCTAATCCTTTTGCTGACTTTTAAGTTTTTCTCTGTTGAACATTTTTTACATTCCATAAGTAGTAGTTTTGATTGCCTCTGTTGAACAGTTGTTGAGTTTCATATGAGTTAATGTAGATGTGATTTTGGCATTCCTAAGTCAAAGGTAATAGGAAACTTTAAGATGCGTGAGGTGAGGTACTTTTGCCACCTCTGTAGCACCTAATAACAAAACTTTTACAATCAATATTAAATTTATTTAAGAGTAATGATATTAGCACTTTGACATGTTTGATATGTCTTGATACCAAAAATGATAATATTTTTTTGTTTTCTTTCTCCTTGCTGGACTTCATGAGCATCTGCATCAAGTAAATCCAGTTGAATGTTTGATCTAGTTACTTTTCCTCATTCAGAAACAACTGAGGCCCAGCTGGAGTTTGTTGCATTGCTGTTACTAGTGTTAGTTTCTAATGTTAGAGATGAAATAATGCTTTTATTTTTGGCTCACAGTTCCTCAAGTGCTGCTGTTTTTGATTTTTGAATATTTTCTCTTTTTTAAAATACTCTATTTTTTTCAATGATCAATTATGTGTTTATGAAGTTTTAAGGATCTATTTTAAGTGGTGTAAATTAAATTTTAATAATAATTTTTTTTCAACATTTTATAAAAGTTTTAAGAAGTTTGATAAAAATTCAAAACATACAAAATACTGCATACCTTTTTATTATCATCCAGTACTGTGTTCATGTTTTCAATCCATATTGCATCTACTGGACCATCAAAAACAATCCACTTACGGTCATCAGTAGTGGAAACAGCTTGCTCACGAAAGGAAACAGCAAGAATACCATCAGACCATTCATGAGAAACTGGATCAAAATTACCATACAATTGACCCATTGTAATTGACTTAGGATTTATAATTTTAAACTTAACCTATAAATTTAACAAAAAAAAAAAATCTAAAATTTTAATTGACAAAGAAAAAAAAAAAGTTTTAAGCATATCTAGTGTAAATATTTATTGTAAATTATTAAAAGGTTTGCATTTAATACATGTATTTCATTTTATGAAGACTAACTCATAAAAAATTTAAACATGTTAAAATAGCAAACATCGCACAAATGTCAGCCCAAGCTTCTATATAACTTTACATATAAATGATTATGTCTTGCTAAACTGTGAGGCGATATCTCTTGATTCTTAAGAAATACTCTATGTATAGACTTAATGTGCATTTGTAGCCAAAAAAATTTGTAAAAAAGCTCAAATGGTTAAATTTTTCAATACTTTGAAAAAGACTTTTTTTACACTTGTCTTAATTTTTTTATTATAAAAGCATGAAATACAAATAAGATAGATGTGTTGTTGGTGTATTGATAGATGTGTTGTTTTATTATTTTTAACATATAATAAAGGTTATATAATTATACCATTAATTATACTAATGGTTTAATTAATAGTACTATAGCAGTATAAATCCAATTCAAATTACTTTAACAAAAATGTATATAAAAAAAACACAGATATCATTATGTGAGGTGTGAGTGAAAGTTTGAGTGGAGGTGTTTAATAATATAACTAGTCAACCTTCAAGTGACATAAAACATGAAAATAAATCTAGTCAAGTCTGGTTTTAGTAGGGTATATTTTCTTGTATTTGCTTATTTGCGCAATTTTTTCTAATCAAAACAGTATTAATAATAAAAAAAAAAACCTTAAAAAAATCTGGAGTCTGTAATTTTTCTAAATCTGACATTGCTTGAGCTAAAATCTAAATAAAAAATAACAAAAATTATAGATTTATTGTTAATGAAAAATGTTAATGATGCCTAAAACCATAAACGCCTGCAGCTTTTCTTAAAATAAAAAATGCTAATAAACCTTGAAAGCATTAGTTTTCCCACCAAGTGGTTCTCCAACAATCATAAAACCATGTCGTACAATCATCATTTCATATATCTAAACATACCTAATGTCAAAACACAATTCAAAAAGAAAAAACGTTACATAGCAAAAAACTAAAATCAAACCTGAATAATTTTTTTGATATACCAATCAGTAGGCTGCAAAATTTCTTGTTTACAATTATTAATTATTGCCTCCATTAGTAGACCATAGTCTGGAGATGGCCACGATGTACCCGGGAACAAATCAGAGATAATTCCCTCAAACAATGGTACATCCTGTAAAAAAAAGTTTTTAAAATTTTCTAAAATCTCATGTATTTTTAAAATATAAATTTTTTTGACTTTTCAACTCACAACCTGATTTGCCCTTTTTAAAATTTTAAATCTGAAACCTATTTATTTTCACAATATATACTTAAAACATATTTATTAATATTTTTTATTTTAACTACAAAATAGTTAATATTAAAGATTTATCATTATCACTACTGATGCATTATTTTCATTCAAGAGTTCAACTGACAATTATTTTAACTAATCATGAAACACATAAAACACAAAAATCTTTAATTTAAATATGGCACCCTAAACAAGTTTCAAAATAAAATTTATTGAAAAAAACAAAAACTAAATCACCTGTGACAAAAACTTAGCTAAATTAACTTCTAGGATCGCTCTAAGAATAAGATTTTGCTCACCATCATTTGGGTATCTTAATTTCAAATTACCAGCTGCTGTCAACACAGATTTAACAGCTCGCATGCCATAATCATAATGTGACTGAGATGATAAAAGCTCAGAACATAACTTGTATGTTTCAACTATTTTAACTGCCATACTATAAAAAAGTTAAACAGTTACTGACACAAATATTCTATGCAAACAAGTAACTTAAAAAACAATTATCTTAAACAAAAGAAAAAGAAAAAAAGGTATTACGCTCTTGCGTTGATGAACCCCATTGAGTATAAGGAAATCTCAGAAATAAGACAATAATCTGGGACCATCATTGCTACAGTTCTAAACAATATCTAAATAACAAATCAATAATATAAAAAGCATTATTAAAGTGAAAATGACAAATTAATGTGGTAGTGGTAGAGTGCAGTTTTGGTAAAAAGTTCCAAGTTCAATTCCCACTACTACCCTGGTTGTAATATGCTCAATTTATTTCTCAGCGCAGTTTGTCAAGGCTCCTTGTTTTTCCTACTGCTTTAGAGTTATTGAGTCAAAAGTAACAACAATCAACAAAAAAAAAAAAATAAAAATGAGTATCCTCCTTGACTTGGTTTGGGAAGGTAAATACATTTTTTTGTGAATATATTCGGAAAAAAAATAATTAAAACTTTACATCAAACTAAAAATAACACTGATAAGATTCTTACCTTTAGATTATCAGGTAGTTCTTGGCGCCCTGCATACCCAGGGTTCATTGTAATGAATATAGTACATGTAGGATTCAGAACTAACTCAGTGCCTTCAAAAATAAATGTTTTACATTTAGCAGAGATAGCATTTTGAATAGTTGAAATTTGCTGAGCAATAACTGATAGTACCTATAATAAGATATTGCTTAGAAATACCATTACTTTGAATATTGAAAAATAAATACTGAAACACCAACAACAAAAGTCAACCTCTAATTCAATTCTGTTGAACTCATCAAAACATGCCCAAGCCCCAGCTTGAGCTAGACCTTTAAAAAATTTTCCCATTGCCTTAAAGTCTAATCCATCTGAACAGTTAAAAACTACACACTATAATAAAAAAATAAATTATCAAACAATTATCAGCGTGTATACCTCTCATTAAAGAACTATTATAATAACAAGAATACAAAAGCAAACCTGCTTCGCAACAGCTTTAGCAAGATCCTTTGCTGTTTCCGTCTTTCCAGTTCCCGCAGGACCTTCTGGAGCCCCACCCAAATTTAACTTCAGAGCGCCCATTAGAGTTCTAGAATAATAAAAACTTAAAAAATTTATATAAAACAAATGTATAAAAAACAAAACTTTATGAAAATTTAAAAAATAAACATGTATAAAAAGCAAAACTTTATTAAAATTTTATATAAAACACATATATAAATATTAAAAAATAGAGAGCATATCTTTCTATATTTTTTAATATTTAGGGTAGGTAATTAGCATTACCATTACCAGCTCTACTTTTTTCCTATACCATACAACAATAACAACAACAACAACAACAATAACAACAACAACAACAACAATTTATCTCTTAATAACCATTTATAACTATATTAATAATAACTGTAACAACAATGATAATAAAAGCAATAGTAATAAGATAACAAAATTGATAATAACATGAGTAGTCTAAATATTACAGGTACATCTAAATACTACAGTAATCTAAATACTACAAGTAATATTTAACGTTAACCATCATCTTACGCCATATTTACGTAGTTTTAAGGTTTTTCTGAATAGAACCAGTTTCTTTCCTTCAGAGAGTTTTCCAGCAATGTCTGCAAGCAACTAAGAGTTGCTAAATCTCTTATTATTTTAATTATAAATTATTCCAGGAGAATTGTTGTTGTTCTTTGTTTAATTTTACAAATTAGAAATTTTATTAGTAGTTTTAATTAACAAACTTTTTTTTTTGTTCTCTAATTTATTGAATCTGTTTAGATTCTTAAGAAATTTAAAAAGAATAGCAAAGTAGATTTTTTAGTATAAAGAGAATTCTCTTAAGATCAGATTTTGTCTTATTCAAAACATTTTTGGTTGCTTGGTGCATCAAAGGCCCCATACTTACATAAATAAATCTTAATTTATTAAATTAATTGAATAAATTAAATTAATCATAACACTTTATTATGAAAATTCCATAACTATATATATATATATATATATATATATATATATATATATATATATATATATATATATATATATATATATATATATATATATATATATATATATACAAAATAGCTATAAAAAAAATTAAACATAAAAACTGGTTTTGTAATGATACCAGTGAACAAAATAACTTTTTGTCTCAATTATGTAGAATTTCAGCTTCTCTCTTACTAATGATTAATAGAGTAAGTTTCAAATATAAATACTAATACTTGAATTTATTAAAAAAAAAAAGTGAAATCATTTAATTTAAGACTATTATTATAAATATTTATTATAAAAATTTCAGAAAATTTAATATTTGAAAATATTGTGTTCATAAAAAAGACTATAACTTAAACAATTTAAACACTATTTATATACTAATTATTCATATAAAATATTTATATACTAACTACAGTAAGATTCATACCTAGTCTCAGTTCCAAATAATTAAAAAATAAATCAGACATCACAATTAAAAAAACTGACATTTAAGCAGCTTAGCACTCAATAAGTAACGCCACTATTTAGTGACATCATTTGACTGGCATAGATAACAATCTTGCAAATCTCTAGCTTACATGTTGCTAATAACACCACTTTTAAAATATGGAAACAACTTAATATAAACATATATACTATAAACATATTATATAACACATATAATTGTTAACACATTGTTGAAAGCTATAAACTAAAAATAATAAGAAATTTTGTGTAATAATTGTTAAATAACCTATCATGTTTACTAGCTATGAAAAAAACTATTAAAGATTCTTGTTCTCAAACATGGGTATTGTTTAATAAACCAGTTTATCACACTCAAGGACTCTTTTACAATAATAAGTCATATTGAGGTATTGCAATTGTTCAGCCATTGATGATTATTTAAAAGTTATGTTGTTCTTTAAGACAATATATTAGGAACATTAAAAAAAAGCACAAACATACATCCAAGTGTCACTTCATAACCCAGAACATTTATATATATATATATATATATATATATATATATATATATATATATATATACATATGTATACATATACACATATATACACATATATGTGTATATATATATATATATATATATATATATATATATACATATATACATATATATATATACATATATATATATATATATATATATATATATATATATATATATATATATATATATATACATATATATATATATATATATATGTGTATATATGTGTATATGTATACATACGTATATATATATATATATATATATATATATATATATATATATATATATCTTTCTCTTTTCTACGAATCCTATAATGGGCACTGCTCTTTAGAGCAGTGCCCATTATAGGACTTCTAGAAAAGAGAAAGGGCTACGTTACGACAATCTGATAATGCTTGGAGGTTGGTTGCACGAGCAGTTCCAACAATGTTTACAATGTAAAATTTTGTACCTTGTCTAAAAGAAAAATAGCATCATTAAAAAATCCGCCCCAGATATGGCAACAGTATTCCATACAAAGATGGATCTGAGATTTATAGAGATAAAGAAGAAAACTCGAAGTAAGAAAGTACGAGCTCAATAAAAAGATGCAACCTTAGCAGATGCTAATTTTGCAACAGATTTGATATACAGTTTCCAAGAAAGATCGGAAGTAAGAGTTAATCCAAAGATAAAGGGCAGATGACTCATTGAGCACATTATCATTCATTAATATAGTAATATCTAAATTATTGCAATAACAATCAGCTGAAAAAAAAAAGAGTTTAATCTGAGTTAAAGTTCACCAGCCATTGTGAGCCCCATGATGAAGCAGAAGTGAGATCCTTTTAAAGCTCAAATGCCCCCTTCAAGCAATCAGAGAGAGTTGGCAATTTATTATGACAAGAATAAATAGTAGTATCCTCAGCAAACAATGCCAAATTAGATGTGAGAATATCTGGAAGATTGTTAATGAAAAAATGAAAATAAAATTAAAAAGAGTATAGGGCTTAAGATTGAACCTTGAGAAACCTCTTAAGTTACAGAATAAGAAGAAGAGAGCTGTTCATCGAGGACAACTTTTATACTACGATTGGAAAGGAAGGATTTAATATTCCTCAACATGTTATCAAATACACAAGAAGAAAGCTTATGGAGAAGACCAGCATGCCAAACTTTATCAAAAGCTTCAGAAATGTCAAGAGCGATAGTCTTAACCTCTCCACTTATATAATGCACAATATAAACCTATTGATTATTACAGTTAGCAAATCAGCTGCAGAATGAGAAGATGAGACAACTGAACTCAAATTAGTCTCACAAAAAGCAAGTAGGTCTGGTGAACTTTGGAAGAGATAAGACTCAACTGAAGAAAAGTTACTTTGAATACCACAAATATTAGTGAATGATAGGTTTAGAGAACTTATTGATGACAATGGTTTTTGTGTTTTAGGTACTTTTTTCATTAGTTTTTAGTACTTAATTCATTTTTAAAAGAATGTTAAATGTTGAGTAGTCTTTTTATTTTGTTAATTAAAAGTGAACAGAACTAAAAAGATTACTTTTGAAAAAATTTGCATTTTATTATATTTTTTGGATAATCAAGTTAAACTGTTATTAGTTATTTATTTACTAATAACCCATAGTTCAAGATGTTTACTGCTAGTAAGAATTATAATTGTAATAATAATATATTATATTACTGAAAAAAATGATAAAAATTGAAAATTGCACCTGTAACATCGATCAGTCAATGGAGTTATTACAAGTCTTCCAGAATTTCCAAGATACTCATACCCATACATAATAGTGGTTGTAATCATTCTCACAGCAATTAATCCTTCTTCAAAATAATATCGAAATTGAGCTATCCATTGAAAATTATTTGGATCGCTTATATTATTCTTTGTCATCATTTCAATTACATCACGAGCTAATAAAAAAAAAACTATATTGACTTTTTGTTTTATTTAAAAAAAAAAAATTAAAACTATATTAATAAAATAAAAATAATATAAACGCAAATGTAATAAACTCATTATCAAAAATTAAAAAACTGAAATAATTTACCATGTACATCAATGACTACTAAAGCACCAAGAGTCAGCCGTACTCCTTTATCTAACTTTCCACGAACTAATTCTACAAGTTTACTAATTTGATCATTGGACTTATTTAGATAGCTGAAAAGGGCATTGGGTTTGAGTATTGCCTCACTAACCTCTGCAGTCCAATAAATACTACTAACTGCTATAACTATCTAAATAACATATAAAAGATTTCTACACTTCTGTGTATTAAATAACATATAGAAGATTTCTACACTTTTTTGCATTATATAACATATGAAAGAACTGCATTAGACTAATGTTTGCTGTTAAAGTTTCTCTGCAAAACCAAATGTATGCATATTGTTAAATTTGAATGTTTAAAGCAATTTGATTTTCTCATTAACATTAATTCTAAGATGTAACTTGTAAACTTTCATTTTGTACATTAATTCTATTAAAAATATCAATAATAGTGCATATACACTATTTTTAACATGTCTAAGGAACAAATGTTAGTACATACATTAACTATGTTATGTAATCAATGTATGTGTATACTGTAAGAACATGTTTATGCAATAGTACAATATATTTAAATCTAGTGAGAAAAAAAAGTAAACTTTGATCACAAGATATAAAATTTAAAAACTTATTTTAGGCAGTTACAAGACAATTTATAGATATTGCAAGATAACTAAAGTGGTATTGAAAGATTTAAAAATTTAATTTAAAACAATTTCACGTTTATATCATACCTAGGGGTGACAACGAGGTTGGATCAACAGGTTAGCGTGTTGGGATTGCCTAATACTAACATGACCTCTTTATTATTAACTGGTGTTTTAAAACTAACACAGTCTATTTATTAAATTGGTAAACCCAAAGCAAAATAGATAACCTGTTAAATAGAAATGTCAGATCAGCTGGACCTGATAACACTTCAAGATGTTCCTTTATTAAGTGGACTGACCTGACAATATGTCAGGTCAGTCCACTGTCTGACCCAAATATCCTGTGTAACTTACAATAAAATATAAATGCTTCTAATAGCAAAAAAGCTACAACAAAATATAAATGATTTTATTCAAACTAATTACTATATCATCAACAGTTGCATGGTGAATATTAAACCACTGAATAAACATAAACATTTATTCACTACAACCAAAGAGATCCAAAATTACTTAAAAACACACAAAAAATAGCAGCAATAACACACACTAAATATATAAAAAGAAAAATTAATAAATGTGACTTGATTCTAATTTAATTCTACATTATAAATATAATTATAGTTATATTTTATGCAACTTCCTCTATCGCTGCAGTGATAGAGGAAGTTGCATGAAGAAGAGAAGAAATGACTTTGGTTTGTGACTTAAATAGTAAAAAGGATTGGAGTTAGTTTAACTCCTTTATATATTATAATAATTACAGCAATATTAAAAAAACAATATCTCACCTGTCCTGGCCATTCTTGTACCCATTTTTCTCGAGGTGTCAAAGAATATGCTTTAAGAGCATCATCAGCAACTTTTTGTAAACTCATGATCATAACACTTTCAACTTGAAGAAGCCATTTCTCTACCATGCCCTACAAAATAAAATATGACAGTATTATTTTGTGATTTAAATAAGAACAAAATATTTTATTATCTATAGTTATGTTTTGATATTCTTTACTTAAATTAACAATACTTATCAGATGTTGTCCATTTACAAATAAAAGGTTATTAAAAAAGAGACTCAACTATAAATCAATGAGTCTAACAAAAAAATATTTATAAAAAATGTTAAACCTTGGCTTCAGCAGGAATGATCTTTTCCATAAATGGAACAACTTCTCTTTCAGCACTTATCATGGCAACAATTTCTTGATTATCAGTAAATTTAAGCTTTGATATACCTTCAAAGCATTTCTTTAAATGTGGTTGCACACGAAGAGGATCTTTTGTTTCAGAAAGTATTTCCAAAAGTTCATCATTTGAGAGAAAGAAAAATCTGTAAAAATTCAAAACTAACTTAATATTAAAAAAACAACCTAATATCAGCTAAACACAATTAAAGGATGAAATTCCATTAATCACTTAATCATTGCATACTGATTACCCGAACTAATTACATAGTTATGATTTCTTATTAAACTACCAAAGTCTTCTCTAAAAACTACTAAACAGATTTTTCTAATTTATAGCACAAGGCAAATAAAATTTTAATAATTTTAATATTTGTTATCGTTGGTTTTTTGAGTTGAAATAAGAAAACAAGTCTTAAATCTAGAAATAGTTAAAAACATAATAAAGAAAAAAATGAGTTTTGAAAAAAAAAATTTCCTTCAAAATACTTTTTTTTTTCACTAGAACTTTTTTACTATCTCCAGGTCAGCAGTATTTTTATCGACCGAAGGTATACATGCCAACAAATGAAACTATTTAAACTAATTTAAAGATATTTGGTTCGGATTGCTTCTATGGCAAGTAATCTGCTCCTTTAGTTTAAAAAATGATATATTTTTCTTTGAAAATAAGATTTTGAAATGAAAAAAACCCTTTAGTAATATAAATTTTGCAATTCAAATGAGATAAATAAGAAAAATCTATTCAAGTAGTTCTAAGTAACAAAATATTTTAGAATTTCATTTAACTATTTGTGTACTGTAAAATCAACATTTTAACAAATATATTAAAATAAAATTCATTTTTTAAAAAATAAACTTGACATTTGAAATTGTTTCATGACAATTTTAAATGTTCATTTAGTTGAAAAATTTGTTTCACATGCACATTAAGACTAAAAAGTGACAAAAATTTTAAAACTTGAAATGTTATACCTGGGAAAGAAAAGCTGCTTTTGCTCTAGATAAGCATTAAGTCCCTTTTGAATGTCCTCTAGAAGTCGGTTTGCTTCTACAAGCCTTTCTAACATTTTCGGTTGACTAGTGCATACAAGCACATGTGGATCAACAACCTAAGGATATTTTTGTTTATATTAAATTTTATTAGAATCAGAAAATCTATTCTCATTTTACTATGAATTTTTTTTTTTTGTGCTTGAGTTATAAAAACATAGTAGTTAACAGAAGTTACAATATAAAGTCATACTGAATTTAACATAATGTCTCTCCAATAACTATCCACAATTTTAAATTTTTTTCCTTCTTCAGGCATCTGCTTCATTATATCTTCTGAACTGAAAATCGGCTCCAAATACATCCATGTGGCTTGACACTGATAAATAAAATTTGCTTTTTTATTTTTGTATATATAAATTTACATTATTACTATTGTTTTAAACATATAAAAGTAATTATTACTAAACAAATATATACACAGACAGTAGATTCAGGTATTTTAAAACTTATATTGTTCTAGTTTTGGATTTTGCAGTAAGGAGATTGAGGAAGAGTTATAACAACACTGTTTTTTTTTTAAAAAAAGATTATTAAATATAAACAAAAATCTCTTTATTAGCCTAATTATAAAAATACTTTTTATAATCAAGCTAATAAAAATAAAACTTTTTAAAAAAAAAAAAAAAAAAAAAAAAAAAAAAAAAAAAAAAAAAAAAAAAAAAAAAAAAAAGAGAAATACTTAATATTTTTGCCCTATAGGTTGACTACACATGTAGATGTGTTATCTATGTTTTATATCTGGGGTATCTAGATATGGTATATACCCTCATTTATACTTTTTTTGAAAAGCGTAGAAAATTCATAGCAAATTATTTTTGTTTTAATTAGTTCTTTTTATTATTTTTTCGAACATTCTTTGAACTTTTTTTCTTTTAACTTGTTACTTTGCTTTTAATTGATTGTTTTTGTTTTATTTTATAAAATAATAATAATAATAATAATAATAATAGCAATAATAATAATAGCAATAATAATCTATAAATATTAATAACTTAACGCTTCCGATGAATGCTCACCATTCGTGCCCGTTTTTACACGGAGTTTTATGAGCATGCTTGGCCTTCAAGATATTTCTCTTTTTGACCACGCCATGAGGTAATATCTGTTAATTACTGTTTAATCAGTAATAAGATCAAAAACTTTGCCTCATCAACTTAATTAGTAATAAGTAATAATTAGTAATAGTTTTAATTTTTCAATTAAAAGACGATAGTGACTCTAAAAGACGATGCTTTTTTCAAGAGGTCAAACTCTTGATAAAGTTAGTGTTAAACTAACTTTATCAAGACTTACCTTTAAAGAAGTTTAAAAAAAATCTGTTTGCTTTTATATAAAAAACCAGATTGTTTGTTTTTACAAGTTGTTAAATATTTATTATACGAGGTATGTCATTAAACAAAAATAAGGTTGTATTTGTAAAGTTTCTAAATTATATTTTTTTTGATTTATATATTTTTATATAGATTAATTTATATTTATGTGTTATCTATGTTTATGTGTTAAGGTTATATGGGTTTATATTTTGTAAGTGTGTAAATATCATAAATATTAAAATATATATATATATATATATATATATATATATATATATATATATATATATATATATATATATATATATATATATATATATATATATATATATATGACATAGATACAATAAAATATATAAAATTAAAGTGTCTATACATATATTATATGTATAGAATATATATATATATATATATATATATATATATATATATATATATATATATATATATATATATATATATATATATATATATATATATATATATATATATATATATGACATATATACAATAAAATATATAAAATTAAAGTGTCTATACATATATTATATGTATAGAATATATATTATTGACTTTTTTTCTTTAGAATATTAGATATCTGAAAAAAGTTAAAATAGTTAAACAAGTTTCAATATTTCCAAGTTTCTTCACTTAAAGCAAATATATGATTGTTTATAGAGGTTTTCTTTTATTAGTTTTTTATTTACTTATGTATTGCAAATCTTGCATTAAATGCGTTTCAAAGTAATGAAAGGGTTTTTATGATGAATGATTACATTTTATCCTTATAGTTTTATTACTTATAGATTACATTTTATCCTTATAGTACTTGCTGAGCAGACAGGCCTTATTATTTTTCATTTGCTTTATTTATGAGTTCTTAAATGAAAAAAAATTTGTTCATAAATTACTTTACTTTTGTTTTTTTGATTAAATACTAATAATATTTTGTCAATAATTAATAACAACTAACTTAAATATGTAACAATACTCAGTTTAAAAGATTATATCAAATTATTTATAACTTTAGTTTAACCTTTTAATAAAAGTATGTTATCTTAACACATTGCTATATATGGTAGAATATAAAAGATTATTATATTATGCTCTATATTATTTGCTTACACTTTATTTTAGATTAGTTTAAAAAAGAAAACTCAACTTTTTATTATATTAAGCATCATTTTTACACACCTTTGATGCATGATTATGTCTGATAATTTAAGAAATGAAATTATTACTACACCAACTGGAGCACAACCCTGACCGCGCCATCTGTGTTAGAAACCATGTTACTTTGTCTCTATTCTAATTATAGGCTTGCGGTTAGAAAAACTTTTAGTTCTATATTCTATGGTAAGAAACTTTTTCAGCAACACGTTGTTGATGCATATGTCAAAGTTGAGGGACAGCGCCTTGATTTATTAGAAATAACCAAAACAAACTTAGAAGTGAACAATATGATGCATTGCATGAACATGTAATTATTTGTGCTAATGATCTTAATGTAAGACCAGGCCACATTGTTATATTGCTTTCTTCGTATGTTGGTAGTCCAAGAGCAATAAAAGAAAACTTTGAAGATGCGATGGCAGTCATAAAGAAATATGGTAAACCAGATCTATTCATTACTTTTACCTGCAATCCAAAATGGAAAGAAATAGTAGAAAATTTAAACCCTGGCTAAACTGCTAATGACAGACCTGATCTAGTTTGTCTGGTATTTAAAATGAAACTTGAATTTTTCTTAGAAGATATTTTCAAGCATGGAGTCTTAGGCAAAGTTGTAAGTCATGTGCAGGTTATTTAGTTTCAAAAGGGTGATTTGCCACATGTATATATTTTATTGCACTTTGTAAATGCAGATAAGCTAGAAACAGCAGAAGATATTGATAGTTTGATATCGGAAGAAATTCCAGACCGAGCTGTTGATCCTGAACTTCATGAAATTATAAAATCATGCATGATATATGGACCATGTGGAATTTTAAATCCCAATTCTCCCTGCATGATAATTGGAAAAGGTACCAAAAAATTTACTAAAGAATTTAATCCCCACACTGTTGGAATTTTTAATGGCTGTCCATGCTATAGACGTGTCGATAACGGAAGAATTGTCAATATAAAAGGCAATCAAGTTTATAACCCATTTGTTGTTTTATAACCCATTTGTTGTACTTTATAACCCATGGCTTCCTAAAAAATATCAAAGACACATAAATGTTGAAGCCTGCAAATACTTCGGGTTGTAAAGAGAGGGCAACCAGGAGATATTGTTAAAGCCTGTATAAAATTTTCTCAATATTGGCAATAAGTTCAGCAATTTTTATTAACAGAAAATATGAGGGTTCGGGTAAAAGAAGAGGAATTCTCTCAATGAATTCTCTTTTAAAATTTGGTAGTGTAACATTACCGTTAAAATCAGATGGTTCCTTTCACTGGTGCATTAAAATTCCTGAGCAGTGCTTGCTTGGAGCAAATGAATCTATAGTAGACAAGATTATTGGAGTTGCAAAAGAAGATGATTATGCAAAACGTGCCATTTTGACACCCACTAATGTAGATTCATTAGCAATAAATGAAGAAGTTTTGAACCGTTTACTAGGCGATGTAAAAGATTATTTAAGTACAAATACTATTGAAACAGATGATCTTAACAAAATCAACATTTTTCCTGTTGAGTTTTTAAACAGTCTTACTCCATCGGGAATGCCTGTTCATTGCCTAAAACTAAAAATTAGTGCTGTTATAATGTTACTTTGAAATTTGGATCTTAAAGCTGGACTTTGCAATGGTACCCGATTGATGGTGCATGCTCTTCAAAATAATTACATTTATGGGCAAGTTTTAACAGGTGTTTCAGTTGGCAAGAGGGTATTTGTTCCTCAAGTTCAGTTAACACAATCTGATTCAAATTTACTTTTTACTCTTAAACATCGTCAATTTCCTGTAAGATTATAATGTGTTATTTCCTATATGTTAATATATATGTGTTATATAAAGTAAAAGATTTATGTTTTTTAAATATTTATGTATGTTTTTATAAGTGAGTGCAGTTAATAGTTTAAATATGTTCACTAAACTCAGGATAACTCTACCCTCAACAATATAAACTAATTTTGAAATTCCACTTAAGATTTTTTTTATGTATTATACTCCCAATAACTCTAATTTTCTTTAAACTAAACTAATTTCTTTGTCCTTTTAAGGTCTGGGTTATCTAGAGTTTACTTTAACATGTTCTGTTATTTAATTAATTGTTGTGATGTTTTATGCTTATAGGCTTAGCTCATATTCATGTTGATCTATCAGGGTTATGGAAAAAAAATTTAAGTTTCTTATCCACTTATTCGCATTTTTGAGTTTTCAAAAAAATTTGTTGATTGCATGACACGTTAATTTGTAGTTAATGTGTATTATGTTTAAAATAATTTTGTTCCATTTTTAGGTCGAGTTCCTTTTCTTATGACTGATTTGATTATGGCTTACCTAAAGCCTAATAATAATGAAACAATGTTTCAATTTAAATTGTTTTTTAAGTATTTTTGTTACTTTTTGTTAAAGATAATATTTTATTTTAATTTTTTTTTTATTAAAGTATTAAGAAAAACATTCATTTGATTTTCTTGTTGAAAAAGGTCAACCACAAACCAATAATTGTATAGATAAAATCATATATTGTATAGATAAAACCATATATATGTATAGATAAAATCTCAAGCAATTATATGATCATTATCTTTCAATTCTAATTTAATTAATTAGACAGTTATTAAGTAGTTCTTTCAAGATCTTGATGACATTTGACCACTTGTAGAAGAATAAATGCCAAAAAGATCTTGATGACATTTGACCACTTGTAGAAGAATAAAAAAAATGCTAGTATTGCTCAGGAATTTCATCTTGCATTACTTAATTACTTAATTACTTAATTTAGGCATTTTCTGAAACTTTACTTAAGGAATTACTTCAGATTCTTAAAAAAAGCATAATACCTTAGTTAAATGGAATAGAAATTTTATATCACCATGCCATCCTATTGTTTCAGTAATCACTTCTTTACTATTCTTCCAAAGCTATTTGTAGTTCTTTGCAAGTTCCAGGATAAACGAATATTCGATATTGGACAACATGTTGTTTCCACCAAGTTTGACATCCATAACTATGTGTAAGACTCAGTCAAGAACATGTTGACAACCAAAGTTGTTAACAAGACCAAAAGTAGCAAGAACAAGGCCAAGTCCAAGGCCACACATTACAAGGCCAAAAGTTACAAGGCCAAGAAAAAGGCCAAAAGTTTTAAGGTCAAGGCCAAGGTTAAGAGTTTTAAGGCCAAGGCCTACGCAAACATTTTCAAGACCAAAGATTTCAATTTTTGCCTTACATTAAGGCCATTTATTAACAAAACTGTAAATAAAAAGTGCTGTAACAATAAAACCACAATTTGTAAAAATAGATCAAGGTTATGCACAGAATTCAACAAAGTCAATAAGAAAATATGTACTTTTTTCAAGGCCAAGGCCAAAACAATCAAGGCCAAAACCAAGGTAAAGGCCAACAGTTTTAAATTCCAAGGCCTCAATTTTTGGCCTTAGAGCAGGGCAAGGCCAAGGCCAAGGACTAACAGCTCTGTTAACAACCAATAATTATGATTCGTTTTTTTTTTTTAGTAGAATGTCTTTGTAACTGACTGACAATTCTTCCAGTGTTTACATATGTTGTGTCTGCTACAATCATCTTTATTGGTTGATAACTTCGAAGATGTTACTAATTTGGTTGCAGTTTTGACTTTTCTGTAGTTCTTGCTGGTAATTGTGAACTGTTCTTCTGAATTCTGCCTCAGATTCTAAAGTTAATGTTGCTGCTGTTGCCATTACAATACATTCCCAGTTGTCCTGTTTTTCCCACCTGTCCTTTGCTTTTATTCTGGAAATTATACAATTTTTGTCCTCACTGCAGAGCCATTCACCATCTTTTTTTGTGATGTCAAAAACTTCATTTAATAGATTGTATTTACTTTGTTTTTAAATTTATTGTACATTTTCAGCACTTGATCCAGTTTTGCCTGTATGACCTGAAGTAATAAATTGTTCTCATTTTCTTTCTTATTTTGCTATATGCACTCTTATCTCACTTAGATGGAATCTCCCAGAAACAGACAGCAACCAACAATTCTAGTGAGAATCATAAAATCAAAAGAGATTCTTCATCAAGCTGGTTTTATTTCTTTCGGTAGCGGAAGCACTTTTTTTAAAGATATATATTCAAGTATTATCATTATGATTCAAGATAATACTTGAATATATATCTATGAGGCAATAATAATAATTATAAGCGCAACTCTACCTTAAATGCTATATTATTTGACTGTCATCTGGTAAATACAGATTCATATAACTATGCTTAATCAGACAGCTTATAGAGTCTAAATCTTGCTAATTTCTTTAAACTTCTGGAAGACTCCAAAAAATTCTGGAAAGTTTCAGAAATTTTTAAAAACATCCAGAACAGTCTAGAAAATTCTAGAAAGTTCCATAAGATTCAAGAAAACTCTAGGCTTTAGAAAGTTATAATGCTACTGCCTGCAAATACTATTATATACCATTATTAACATTTCATATTGCGGATGATATATACATTTAAATTATATATTTCAGTTTGAAAGTAACTAAAAAATCATTTATTCTGTTTACTTTTAAAAAAAGGTCACCCAGCATGAAATCTGATTATTTGCTGGGATATAATTTTAGATAAAATATTTTTACTTATATATAGTATATTATTTTTAAAAAAATGTTCATAAAGTAACCTGGGTCTTAAAAGAACCAGATTATTTTTTCTAAAATTTTTTGTTGAAATTTTAGAAAAAATAATTGTTTAAATTAAATAAATTAATAGTTCAAACTTTATTTACAAAAAAACAAATTTTTTTACAAATATTAACAAAGTCTATTTTTTTAACATTTTAAGGAAATATTTTTTTAAAATTAATAAATAAGATTGTGAAATCTCTATAAAATTCATTTGAGATTCAGGTTGATATAATGTAAAAAAAAACTTTTTTACTGATATATAAAATCTAGTTTTTACTGATACATTAACCAAGTAATTAAGGGATATGCAGGATGAATTTTTTCAAAAATTAAACAAACCCAATGATATTTTAGTTGCTTTCTAAACAAAGTTCATCTATTTTTCATATGGCTGATCTATGAAACATATAAAAATTAAAACCCTGATATACAGGGCTGGATTTATCAACAGGCTGACTAGGCCGCATCCTAGGGCCCCACGATTATAGAGGCAATATGTCAAAAAATTTCAGAACTTTTTGAAATTTTTGTAAAATATAACTAAAAATATACTAATTATTTTTATATCATGCAATACATAGTTGACTTTTTCATACTTTCTCAGTCCCAATATAAAATGTCATAAAAACAAAAAATTTTAGTTATAAAAAGGGTCCCAAAACATAACCCGTCCTAGGGCCTCCAGAAGTGTAAATCCGGCCCTGCTGATATACAATCATATAACATTTAACAAAATTTGTCTTAAAAAACCTGAAGCCAATTATCAAGTATATCTTGGATCATGATTAGATTTTCTCTCCAAATTTTAATATCAGCCTCGAAAGGTTTAATAAAAGGTGAGCCACTCATTGTTTGAGATTTAATGATATGGTCATCAAGCAACAGTTGTATTTCATCTATAGATGATAAAACTGAAACTCCCTAAATAAAAAGTTATTGATTCTATATTTTTTACAATAATTTATTGGTTCAATATTACATATGCTATGCAATATGCACTTATTAATAAAATACCTAATAAACCATTTATTTTAAAAAAAAAAGTATACAAAAAAAAAAAATTTTAAAAAAAAATCATTTTTTATTATTCAAAAAAAATAAAAAAAATAAAATTAAACATAAAAAAATTAAAATATAATTTTTTGTAAAGACTACAAATGAAACAGGGTACAAATTTTTAACAAACAAAATTAAAGTATTTCTATCATTTATAAGAAAAATTAAGTAGTAAATTTTATTTTCTGTTTGTAATAACAAAAATAAAATCAAGTTTATCACTTACTGATTCTCGATATGGTAAAAATTCAAAGATTATATCAGCCCACTCATTTTTCATCTTGTCAATAGCTTTTTCAATGGAGTATTCTTTGCTAGCAGTAACACTTATTTCTTCAAGTCTAATTGTAAAAAAAAACTTTTTTTAACTAAATGCTAATAATTTTTCTTTTTTTACTAATAATAGTAACCTATAAAATCAATATAAAAGTCCCATCATTTTTGCAAAATTTTTTGAAAGTTGTATTTCTTGATGATGTCATTTTTATGACATAAAACATGTGAAATAACATAATCATTCTTGATGATGTCATTTTTGATACAATGTGATGAGCATATATGAAAAAGTATAAAGTTTGCTTATAAATTTATTTTACTACCAGTCTTTTTAAAATGTTGTAACTTTTCTTAGAATTTATTGAAACTAAAAGTTTTCTTTTATTATAATTAGAATTTATTGAAATTGAAAATTTTCTTTGTTTACAATTAAATCTTATTTTATTTATTTTTAATAAACAGTCCAATTACCTAATGAGCAATGTAAAATATTTACTTAAGCCATATTATTAAAACATTAGAACAAAATAAGTTTTGAACAAGTTTTACAAGTTTGAGTATATAGTATAAAAATTTAATGGAAATTTCTATGGACAAATGTACAAAACAACTAATTCACTCAATATTCTATACTTTAGAAAAATAGTAAATTTGAGATTCAATATTTATTATTAACTATATAGTTAGGTATTTAAAATAAAGACACAAAGAGGTTGAAAATTTAATTCTGTTAGATAAAATGCATCCAAAGACCAAAAATAAGCAAAGGAGAAATGCTTGGATCTATGGAAAATAATATATCTATAATAACATAATGCATATATAAATAACATTTGAAAGTTACTTTTATAAACATTTTATAACTTTTATTTCTAAATCTGTTAGATTTTATTTTTAAAAAAATTGTACTTTCTCACTTTTAAAAACATTTTCCCAAGTATAACAAATTTAGAAGTTGTCAGAAACAAGAGAATAGGTTGGTATACACTATTAAAGCCTTGATTAACATATAGGAAAAAGCATTAATTTTAGCATAAGGTCATAAAAAATAAGACACAGATAATAATCTAATTTTAGATGTTGAAGAAAAGTATAAATTTATTTTAACTTATAATTTATTAACATTGGCACTGGAAATTTTAAAAATTAGATTCCAAGTAGTTTAAATAAAATCTACTTAAAAAAAAATTATGAAAAATCAAGAAATAGCTAAATAATTTTAAATTTAAATGTTTATAGTGCAATAAAAATTGATAAAAATAAATTACTATCAACCACAAAAAAGTTATTGAACACCAAAAAAGAGCTGTAAAAGAGGTCATATAAAAAAATAATAAAATGTGTATAAAAAATAAAAATTTTAATAAAAATATAGAAGCATAAAGCAGGACACATAAAAATGTAGAAGCATAAAATATAAGTTGTGCAAATCTGAGAAAATATTGCATAAACCTACACAGTTATGTAAAATAGAGAAATTTCAGGTCAAAAATCAGAAAATAACATGTAAAAAAAGACTGGCAGGGGGAGTAAAAATAAATTTATACAAAATACTTTTTTTCACTAACTCATGTTAGTGAAAAGTTGTTGACTTTCAAAAATCAATTATTTTGCAGAAATTCACTGATGACCTTAGAATATCAGTAATTTTGCAGAAATGAAATATTGAAAAAAAGCATTCAAAATTTGAACACTTTTTTTTAACACATAAAAACTTTTACTCTAGAAGAAATTTCAATAGCCCTGCATCAATGATTTCCGTAAGAGATGTTTCTTTGTCAGGTTTTATATCAGAACCAATAAGATCGCTTATCTGCAAAAGATTATCAATATTGTAGCAAAAATAAAAAAAAAACATGACATCAAAAAATAAAAAATAAATGCATCTTTTACTTTACTATTAAACAATTTTATAATATTTTTTAGATTTTATAAAATCATTTACTTACTAATTCCCAGTGTCGATCTCGAAGTCCAGGCTGACATATTGAACTTAATAAAGAAAGACTAGGTTTAAATTTATCAATCTTTAACTTAATGGTTTCAGCAATGCGACGCGGGCCAGCAACATCAGAGAAAACTTTGATAAGTTTGACCATTGTTCGCCACATCGACATTACCTCTTCTTCTGCTTTCTCAGCATTTATATCTTTAAATGGACCTGTTAAAAAATAAAACACCTTTGAGCTAACTTTAATTTGTTTTTTATTAAGTTAATATACTTTGTCATAATTGTTTTAATGTGACATTTACTTACAGTTCATCCAATTATTATATGAATTTGTAAACTGCAATGCAGTATTCCAAAGTTTTTCATATGGTTCTTTAGTTGTAATTAAGATTTGCAGGAGTGGATACTGTGTAATTTCCCATCCCAGAAGCATTTCTTCTTTACATAAGCACTAAATTTTTTTTTAAATGTTCATTAATTATAATTTGCATTTTAAACACACCTAGATTGTTAAAACTACATGTAACATAGCTACTTTATCTTTGACACAGGTAAATGGTACACTATATGGTTATATATACATATATATATATATATATATATATATATATATATATATATATATATATATATATATATATATATATATATATATATATACACATAACACTGTTTTAATCGAGAAGTCCTTTTTTTATATTGCTATTTTAATTGATGTTAAAACATCTTTAAACAACAACAACAACAACAACAACAAAAAGGTCCTTTATTCCTACATCCACATTCTAAATCTTTATTTGCATAGATCTTAAATAAATAAAGATTAGAACATTATCTTTAGCAAAATCCTATACTTAAAATTTAAAAACTTTTTACTGACCTCAGCTTCTGTTCTGGCTGCTTCAACATGTTTATTAATATCACTGAGATTTTCTACATTTTTTATCATTTCCTCTGTAGTCAATACCTAAACATAAAATATAGTTTCACAACATATATATATATATATATATATATATATATATATATATATATATATATATATATATATATATATATATACACATATATAAATATACATATATATATATATATATATATATATATATATATATACATATATTCATATATTACATATATTACATATATTACATATTTTTTTATTTATTTTTCACTTTTTTTACACTATTTCTATCATATTTATACATTTTTTAAAATTTTTATTTTATTTCTATCTTTATTTATACATATTTAATTTATTATTTGATTATAAAAACATACATTTTATACTTATTTTTGTTATTTTTATTTATTATATATTATATTTCATTTTCACTTTCATCAATTTACAAAAACGATTAATTGCAGTAATGTATTTGAACCTTGCCATAAACCTAACCCTATGTCTGACCTTGATGCTGACCCTAACCAAACCCTCAGTCAATGTAGCAGCACTCCCTTGTGAGTCAGGCTATTTGATAGTCAATGTATGTACTTTTCACACCAATTCAATGAATTTAGCATATAGCTTATGATGTATATCTGCCTATTTTTTGTAGTAGTCATAATTACTTATATTTTTAAATATAGCGAATCAATTATGACTATTAGAAACTTCATTTATTTTCTCATAGTTGACTTTTTTAAGCATAATTTTAAGAAAGCAAATAGAGATAAAGAGTTTAATCTTTCAATAATTGAGTTACTAATAATCTGAACTATTTGCCAGATGAGAAATGTATAGAAATTAGAAATGTATGCACACTACAACAGTTCCTTTAAAAACATTAAAAGCACAATCAGTATATTAAAAATAGATAACTAGTAGAATCATATTTACTCAAAATAGATTCTATTCTTGCCATAACTAAAAATGAAAAAGATTGTGAACAACATGAGGATGATCCTGATTATATAAATATGGTATACGCAACACAATGTAAGCAAGTGTAAAGAAATGCATATTCTAGGGAATTCCGATTTACAAAAATTTGATAACTAAATAAATGACCTTTAGACAAACCGGAGAACTAAGCTTGGGGTAATATTAACTAAACCAGATTTAGGTATAAGATTGTTATAATTTCTCCTAAAGCTGAACAATGTTTACAATTCCACAGAGAAACTATAAAAAATAATAAATTTATTTAAAGAGTTGCTTCCATGTGGAACTCACTACCAGATAATGTTGTTATGCAGCAAAACACAAACTCAAAGCAATAAAATATATGGTAATAGTTAAATATTTATGTGATTTACACAAAGTCAGACTATAATAATTTTATGATTTTTATTTTTATTTTTAATATATATATATAAAGTCCAAATTTTTTACAACTATAAGTTTCATGCAAACTGCAATCTTCAGGTAAAGTATATTGTAACATAAAAAATAAAATAATAATCTTAACCTCTTTTTTCTTGAAAAGTTCAATATTATTGTGATATGTCTCTAACATTTCCTTCAAAATAATAACCCTAAAAATAAACAAAAATATAAAAAAATATACGAAAATAGGAAAATATATATAGGAAAATAATTATTCTCCTATTTTATAAATTTATATGTTCTATATTCTAGATTTTGAAAGGCATGAAGAGAAAAGACTTGGAAGTAGTAGTTTGAAAAAGTATTAGACTTAAGTACTGAGGTATTTTTAACCTTTATTTTTCATTCCCTAAGAATGTGTTATTTTATAATTTTTTGGATTTCTTATTTTTTAACTTTTTTTTTTTTTTTTCATTTTTTACATTTTATAAATTTAATTAGCTTATGTAAAAAATTTTATCTTTGTAAAAAGAGCACAATAGACATCTATAATAGAAAAATTTAAACTGTAAAAAAAAACTACTACATTCTAGTAGTGAATACTGAATGTTTTACTATGAGTTTTGTCTTTTTTTTAGTAAAATAAGTAGTTACCAGACTCTCTCTGAACGGAATGCATTCTCAAAGTTTTCAAGGTCAAGCAGTGAGTGGTGCTGTCATTATCTATTGAATGATTTACATTTTATTTTAAATTGTTTAAACTTGTGTACTTTTGTTGTTCACAAATTGTTTGTTTTTACATTAAATATTTATCTTTGCGGTTTGCTTTTTTGTTAAATGTTTTTGCTTTAAGCAAGATTAAAATATTTTGGTTATGCTTTAGTGGTTTAATGATATTTTTATTTATTTGAAACCTAACATTCATATACCATTATTCAAAAGGTTTAAGCATAGACCACTATTTAAAAACTTTTTTCATTAAAATGTTTTATGTGGATTAGAAGTCAAGACATTAAGCAGAAAATATTGTTAAAACCTAATCCTAATTGAAAACTAACTTTAACAAAATTGTCATCTAAGATTCATTTATCTTTTTTGTATTCATAGCTATATAAAAGATATAAAACACAAATATAAAAGCTATAAGTAATAAACTTCATCTAAAAATAAAAACAAACCTTCTTTTTAATTCCTGCTCTAAATGCAACTTTTTTGTTAAAATTCGTGATTCACTTAATTCAAATATTTTCATAATTTTTCTGGGCCAAGTGAAAAGCTCATTATTGATTTTAATATCTGATGCTGAAAAGAAAATATTTCTGTTTAAATATATATACATATATATATATATATATATATATATATATATATATATATATATATATATACATATTTCAAAAAAAAAATTTCTTTACTGATTTATTTAGAATTAGTGCAGCAGGATGCACACACATTGACTGACTTAAATGGGGAGTACATGCTACACACAGGAGTGCTGCTATATTAACTAAAGGTTTTTGTTTGAGCAGGTAATTTATAAATTTAAAGTCTATTTTTTTATAAGTTTTTAAATATTTAAAGGTTTCTGAAAAAAAAGTGTGAAACTCCTAAGACATAAATTGGTTGAGAATTTAAAATAAAATTTTTTTTTTGATTTATTTTGCTTTTTTAAAAAAATATGTTAAATATCAACAAAATGTACATACGAGTAACATCTGCATATTGGAGAAGAAATGTAATTCTTTCAGCAGCCATTTCCACCTCAAGCTGAAGCTCTGCAACTCTAACTGAGCTTGCTTCTTTTACATAGTTAATTAATTCAACAATATCTTCCGTTTTATCTGGAATTTCATGACACCGATCAGATATAAGATCGTAACTATGACAAATACTAAAAGGAAATTTTTTTAAATATTTTGACAATTGACCCTATTATCAACCCCATCCTATCACCATATATCACATCATATCAACATATCATCATATCATCATATCATTATCAACCCCATCCTATTTCTAAAAGTTTTGCCACTTTTGTAATCCTTATTTTTTATCCTTTAAACTGTGCTTTTAGGTTAAATATAAAAATGTATTTCTTGTTTTAAATGTTAGACATTGATATTAATGATTGATATTGATTTAAAACCTGATGACAAAAATATTTGTTTTACTTCTCAATTTTCATAATCGAGAAATAAATTTTTTAAAAAGCTCATCTAAATTCAAGTTAAATAAAATGGTTTTGCAAAAATAATAAAAGAACATTAATGAATGTGCTGCACTAATACTAATAGAACACTAGTAAAATGGTTCTGCAAAAATAATTAAAGAACACTAATAAATGTGCCTATTGACACAATGTTATAAAATATTTTATATTTGGGAATTCTGTGTTATAAGTGGTACTATCAGACTGGCTAACACCATGATATATATATATATATATATATATATATATATATATATATATATATATATATATATATATATATATATATATATATATATATATATATATATATATATGTGTGTGTGTAAGGCCTTGTTTTAATTAAAAAAAGCTCAACGTGTTTGCCAAATGAAACTTGACGTCATAAAATTCTCTTTATATTTTTATTTTTTAAAGATGTTCACTTTTTTAAATTACTGCAATAATATTAAGCAAAACAAGTTAAATACTATTTAACTAGTTATTTATTAATACTAGTGCGAAATGTTTATTTTCTATCATTTTTTTATTTTTAGTTAAAGATGTAAGTTTAATATTACATTTAAAAAAATTTTCGATATAAAAAAATCGTTTTTCTTGACATTTGTATAAATGAATTAAAATATGTTAAATTTTTAAAAATGATTATTTCTTAAATAATTATTTTAAGAAATCTGCAACTATAAATGATTTTTTATTTTCTAAAAAATCAGAGAGTAACAAGTAAAAATTACGTTAATTTATCTTTTTTATTTTTTAAAAGTTTATTATTTTATTAGCGATTTTGTTGAGAGCAAAGATTATTTTTCCAAACACTATTTATCAAAGTTATACCATTGTATATATAATTTATTTAAAATATTGCTGTGCTATACTTGCGTTATAAAAAAAAGTTTAACTAACATATTGTGCAAAATTTTTTATAAAGCCTTGGAACATTTATTTAAGATTTATTTTTGAGTATTAAAAAAATGTTTAGGAATAAAAACCGAAAGGACAATTGTGACATAAATAAAAGCTAAAAGAGAAGATAAAAATAAAATATATTTTTTTAAGAATGAATAAAATTTAACTATTGAACAATATTTTGTAATATTTTTAAATAAATTTGATAGTTAAATTAAACCCAAGCATTACTTTAATTTTATTAAACTCAACTTTTTTTTAATCAGAACTAATATATTTATATTTTAAATTAAAATTAAATTTTATATTTCTTTGTCAGAATAAAAATATATATTTTTATTAAATTAGTTTTAAATTAAATCATATATTTTTTATCAGAAATAATTACATTATAATGATCATTGCTTCAAGCTTTGGGATTGTCCATAAATTATGCAATACAAAACTTATTTAAAAAATATAAGTAGGAGATCATTTTGCTCTTTGAGCGGCAGTTCTTGCTGGACCTGAAAGGTTGTTTATATATTTGGTTTAATTAATGACAATCAGAGGGAAAATTTTTAATCCTTTGTCTTTTGTCTATAATTTAAATTTCGCATTTTACTATTTATGGACAATTCCTTAAAGTATTAGTATTTTTCAAGGGAAAAAACCAATCATTACAATATAACTGATTTGCATCACGATGGAACCTCATTTCATGAGGTTTCATTGTGCGTTAGATAGATGTGGAGAGGTTAAGATTATTGCTTTCAACATTTCTAAAACCTTTGATAAGTTTGGCATAAGGATCTTCTCCATAAACTTTGTTTTTACGGTGTATCAGGTAACATATTAACGGTAACGGTAACATATTAACGGTAACGGTATCAGCTAACATATTAACAGGTAACATATTAACGGTAATGGTATATTAGGTAACATATAGACTACTGAATCCTTCCTTACCAATCATAGTATAAATATTGTTCTTGATGGACAGCACACCTTTTCTGTAACTTAAGGGGTTCCTTATAGTTCAATCCTTGGCTTTATACTATTTTAAAATACATTAACACTCTCCCTAAAATTCATATATCTAAGGTAGCATTGTTTGCTAATAATACTACCATTTATTCTTTTCTTGATAAGAAGCCAACACTCTATGATTGCTTGAAAGAAGCATTTGAGATTAAAAAAGATCTAAATTCTACTACTGCATGGGGATACCAGTAGCTGGTGAACTTTGACTCAATTGACAACAATCTAGATTATCTTATATTTATGAACCGTAATGTACTCAATGAGTCATCTACCCTTCGTCTTCTAGGATTAACTCTTACTTCTGAACTTTTTTGGAAACTATATACCAAATTCATTGCAAAATTAGCATCTGCTAAGGTTCCATCAGTTTATTGTGCTTTCTACTTTCTTACTCCTGATTCTATTTCTTATCTTTATAAATCTCAAATCCGCCCTTGTTTGGAATAGTGTAACCATATCGGGAGCGGATTTTTATATATGTGTTCTTTTAGGAGGTTATGAATCTCTGCATAATTTTAACTTTAATTTTGTGATAAAAAGTGATAAAAAGTGGTGATAAAAAGTGGATAGTTTATGATAATATAAAGCATAAAAGATCATATGGATAACAAGATGTGCCCTTACAAACCACACCAAAGCAAAATATTCATGCCCAGAAAATTATGCTTTGTTTATGGTAGGATTAAGGTATAAAAATAATAACTATTGTTAAAAATAATAAAATTTAAATGTAGCTGAAAAAATTGTTTATATACACAAGTTTTAACTAATTTTTTAAGCCTGATGATGTCAGTTGTTATTGATGAAACACTTGTAAAAGTTTTAAAAAGATTGTTATTTATTTGGAAATTATACATATGTGTGTGTTTGTGTGTATACATATACCGTATTTGGGCGCTTCCTAAATTAAAATTTGAGGACTTTTTTTTTTATTATGTTTTTTATGGTGAATATTGCTTTTATTTTTTTTCAAAAAAATGCAGATTTTCCACTAAATTTCTCTAAAAGAGTACAACCCTTAACTACTTATTTGACAAAATTAAGGTCATCTTATAACAAAATGCATTTATTTAATTAAGGAAAATAATTAAACTTATTCTTTTTGAAAAAAACCATAAAAGAGCAAATTAAAAGATTAGAATGTTTTTAAAAACATACTGAAAGTTTTAATTTTTTTTATTTAAAAAAAAATCATTCAGTATGTTTTTTACTGTAAAACATGCGCTGAGTTTTGCTACATTGACTATCTTATAGCCTGCTGCTACAAGCGAGTGGTGCTACATCGACTACACTGGTTAACAAAGTTTTTTTTCAGCTGATATAATCATGTCAATTCAAGCATGCTGAATCCAAAAATCACATTAGTTTTTATTCTATACGTTCCAACTTCTAGGAATGATCAAAAAACACTTATAGTGTAAATGCTACTTTTCGTATAAAGAAATATAAAACAGGACATTAATAAGATATGGTATTTAGAAATGATGAGTACGCTTAGACTGTCATTTATAAGTCTTTTAAAAATTAACAATAATCAGCCACCATAGCTTCATTCCATTTGCCTTGATACCCCTTCTCCTTAGTCGGAATCTCATGATGAAACCTTTCACCATGTTCATCTGAAACTGCGCATAAATTTTCTGGGAAAAAGTAAAGATGAGAATCCAAGAAAGCTTTAAGAACATTCGACAACCTAGTTCTTGATAATGCTTTACAAGACTTTCTACCAGATTCTTGAAATTATATGCCCTGTTGCTTCTCAGGAAGTTATGAACCACAGCTTTAAATGACTGCCAAGCATTGTGTTTAGCTGGTGTAAGAGTTTCCTCAAATTTCCTATCTTTTAGGAGCTCTCTTATTTGAGGTCCATCAAGCACACTTTAATCTTTGCTAAAAATGATTCGAGAGAACTTTGTTTGAAGGTACTTAAAGCCTGTACCATTTTTATTTATTGCTTTTACAAAACACTTCACCAAATATAATTTAATATGCAAAAGAGGAAGCACAATTTTCAGCGGTTCGACAAGCAGAATGTGTTTAAGGTTGTGGTATCCTAGGCTAAATACTGTACGTTTGGGCCATATCTTCTTCACATTATGACTTTTTAGTATCTCGGCTATCTCAGAGGCAGAGGAAACACGTATACTTAGTGAAACCCAATTGCAGTCCAAGCACAGGGTAACTAAAAATTTAAGATTACTACAAATAATCCACTTGTGGTTTCCATAGTTATCACAGTTAAATACAGTTTTTATTGTCTCGTAAGTTTCCTGCAGTCCCACTGCATGAGCTACTGGAATGGAAGGATATTTGTTTCCAATATGAATTAATACAGCCTTTAGAGAAGTCAATAAAGAGATGTCATTAATTAGAGGAATAGCCACATCCAGTTCAGTTAATAGTCCTCTAACATTCGTACAAAAGGTAATACTATTTTGTTTGATGAAATATTTAGAGCATCTTTCATGTTTGTTTCGGTAAATGGTCACTCTGGTGTTAGGTGTTAACAAATGCCACTCTTTTAGACAAGAACCCAGAACCTCAACTTTCAATTTTGATAGATGCAAGTCTCTGATTAGACTGCTCAGCTTTTGTTGGTTAATAAAATGTGAAGCTGATTCCATTTCAGGAATAAAGTCATCAACATCATTTTCTTTGTTTGATTTTTCTGATGAATTTGGAGAGAGCAAGAGGTTGAATACACTTGGTGGAGTTGGAATAGGCAGACTGTCACTGTGAGGTACTGGCAACTTTGCTGAATCACAAATTGGATAAGTTATTTTGTCCTTTGTCTTTAGAGAATGTCCCTCGATTTTTGTTGAACAAAAATACCAGTTTGTGGTATGACCTTGTGGCTCCTATATATAAGCCAAAATATCACCATTTAATAATAAAAATAATATATAACCAAACATGATGCTTTTAATCAATTATATATATATATATATATATATATATATATATATATATATATATATATATTTACATTATATAAACATATGTTGCATAAAAGTATTACATGACAAAAGCAGAACATGACAAGCTAATTATATGACAAAAGCAGAGCAAGAAAAAAACTTACTCTTTATTTTTTTCTTTGTTTTGAGAAACTATAAAATTTATAAATTGATCTGAATGTTTGATACAAAGATTTGCAAGTTCATTATGTAATCTAATACAATT